CTTTGCCTTTTCAATTATGTATTTAAGTAAAGAAAAGACATGAAGAAGAGTGATTAAGAATGATGTTATACACAGAACACCAAACTCGGATCTTAAAGCATCACACAATGGTTCCCCCAAGAAGAAAGCAGAGACTGAAAGTATCCAGACTCAAGTCCCCATTCATTGCATATAGATTTAAATGGTAATTTGTCCAGTGATACAGAGGGTGTCAAGATAAATGCTATCAAAAAGCTTGGAGACACAGCAAATGAGCACCCTTTTCGGTGTTCGAAACGCACACAGCCCAGGCAATGTTCCTGATCATTACCTCACTAATGAATAACTACTTATTTAAATACCACAGAAGTGACTGAAGCAGCAAAAAAATCTCACCCAGCTACGCATAATCCATCCATGTTTTACACATTAACATTTACTAACATACGCATCAAAATGATAGTTTGAGGACACTGCTCAAACTACACAAGTCTGTCAACAGTTAGTTTTTTTAATACTTTATGTGATGTTTGGAAGGTAGTGCTGCACAATGTCTGAAAATTATTAAATTACAATGCTTATGCTGACAGTTGGGATGACAAACACATTTTCTCAGTTATTTCTCAACATCATCTTTTCCATTCCCATTTGTTTTTTCACAAATTAGCCACTATAAATGTATATCAGCTATCAGGGACAGTTAGAGTCCTTGCAACTTCTATGGGAAATATGGGACCCTACCAAATGCACCCAAGTAATCTGTTTTGATTGCTAAATATTGCAGACATTGATAATGCCATGACAAATCAGATATAATTATACAACTGTTAGAAGTCAAACTACTGAAATACAATCTCTGATTGATTTGGCTCATACACTGAGCAATATAAGCCACGGTTGCAGGTTACTTACTTGTGCAAACATACAGAAGGAACAGTCAAAGAGAACGGCTATTGATTTAGCTTAATAAACTGAAACGTCAGCAGGTGTTTTATGCAGACAGATGGCTGATGAAAAGTTCAGAGAATGTCTATGTATGCCAAGGAAACTTTACTTCACAAACAACACCTGCAGTCGGTTTAATGGTGTTCTGACTCCGCTTAAGCCATCAGTTGCTGTGGACAATATGTGTCGATGGCAAACCAAATCTGGAAACAACGCAGACCAATGGAGGTCTGTGGGACTCTGCAGTGTTAAACAGCTACTCCTTTCCTCTGTCTTTATGGCAGGTATTTAGTTGTTCTATGGCGAACTGTCCAGCTACACTGAAACACAGTGACCCCAGTGAAACTTAACATCGACCATTAAATGAGCCCCCCATGTGCTGGTGGTACATGTGCTGACAGGCACACAATGGACTGCCACTGTTAATGGAGTGCCACCTTTGGTCTCTGGCTCACATACTCAATTAAAGGTTTTTTTTTTACCATGGGACGGCTTAATCCATCATCTTGCATCAATTATTTATCAACTTCAAGCTTCATCACAAACTGCAGCAACAAAGTCTATGTAAGTTTGGAAAACAAGAGGAATACAAAATTAACAAGAACACAATGCAAAAAAACCCGAGGGCAGCTGCTATAGTTGAACGCTGTGCTTCTATAGAGGAAGTGATGCCATGATGTGTCATCTGATGTGCTCGAGATTGCACAGAGCTGATTGATATTAGCTAACAGCAAGCAACAAAGTCAACAAACTAAACAAGAAAACTAAGTTGTCACAGCAGCACATGCAATGTTTTTTTGTTTTGTTTGCTTTTATGAGACGAGCCCAAAGACACATTAAGTGTTTAATGGAAGGAAACGCACCCATTTGCAACCCTCAGCCACAATGTACAACCACATACGGGATGATGAACAGAAAATGGCAGAAGTGCATTATAATAAAAACTGCTTCTGATTTAAAATATGCAAATGCACCATTTTGTTATGTAACTGCTTAGGTGCCAACAAAATAGCTCAAGGCCTAGGAAAAGCGCAGTCTCAACATGAACTAATCATCTGAAAGGTATTCAGAAAAACAAGGTTCTCGGTTTAAATGTCCAGGCCTGTCAGTGCTGATCTTCACCTGCTCACCTCCCTCTCTGAGCATTAAAGCTGTGGACAAAATAACGTCAGACTTCTCCAGTGTTTACAGTCAAAACATGTCTGCAGATGATACCACAGCGGTAAAGCCTTCTTACAAGCACACACAGGCCCTTCAACCATGTAGAGCTTTTTAATGCTCTGGAATGTAAATCTTTCCTGAATAATGTCCAACTCAGTATAAGACTACAGATAATCTCAGCTGTGGACTCTGAGCAACCTGTGACTGTTTAACTCCACGAAACGATTTATTTCACAAGACAGAGGTGGTTACATTATCAAGGCAGTAAAGCATTAAATGTTTGACAGTCTGGTTAATTTATGAAAGGTTCAAGCTTCAGGACATTAATAAGAAAACAATTAATACTGTGATGACGCATCACAGTATTAATTAGCATCATAATTTCATTTATATGGCTAAAAATAAACAGATAAATGCAGACAATGAGTTAATCACATTAACAGTATATTTAAGGAAAAGGTTTTTATTTCATTCAAAATAAAATTTGAATTATATAAATTCCTTTCTAAACCATAGTTTGAAAGGAATGATTAATTATGACATCTCAAAAAAAAAAAAATCCAACCATGAAACATCTCATAATGCGACTGAAAAGTTAGGTGAAGAGGTAAAGTAAAAAAATATTACAAATAGGTAAATAAATAAATTACATTTAACTCTTAGACAAAAATCATAAAACAATAACAGAGTTTGCATGAATCATCCCATATTCATGTATGGAACAAGTAGGGACACTTTGGTAAAATAATAGTGCAGTTTATATTTCAAATGAAAATTCATGAGCAACTGTGACCATTCAGATAAATTTCAAGTAACAATATCAAAGTCCAAGCAGAGTGCAGGTAATATTTAACTGCATTTAAAAGTAGTTTTCAGAGTGAAAAAGCTATGAAGCCATTAGAGGCTCCTACTACCTTCCTCTCTTGTTCAGACAGGTACGTCAGAAGACAAAAAGTGGGCTAAACGCAAACAAAATATATGCAAATACGGACGTGACTCCTGCCTGCCCCTGCTTATTCCTGTCTGGTAAATATTTTCGCTCCTATTGATGACAAAGTGAACTCGGCCCAGCATTACCCCGCGGTTCACCGGCTGGCGTCACCGGGCGGCGGTGAGGAGGTCACCAACAACACGGCGAACCAAACAAAACGGCCCGGTTCCGGCTTTCCTGCACGCCTTGCGGTGATTACTCTGTTGTGGAAACAACACACCGTACTTACCTCGTCTGGTTGGACATTCCTCTAATTTTCTGTGTCCGTGAGTTCATCAGGTACACTGAAAAAATAAAAAAATAAAAAACACACAAGAGGACCGAAAGCGCTTTACTCGGACGGCTGGAAATGACTCCTCTTCACTGGTTGGTCCGATCGACGCGTAACCTCATCGGTTTACTCGACCAGGTATTGCGCACGCGTCGTTCAATGTTTACCCCGGTGCCTCATGGGTGTTGTAGTGCTTGGCTTCAGTCACAAGTATAAACTTCATTCATCAAGTTTGTGCACACAGACAAGGAATTGGTGTAAATTAAGGCTCTCTCTCTCTCTCTCTCTCTCTCTCTCTCTTCTCTCTCTCTCTCTCTCTCTCTCTCTCTCTCTCTCTCTCTATCTATCTATCTATCTATCTATCTATCTATCTATCTATCTATCTATCTATCTATCTATCTATCTATCTATCTATCTATCTATCTATCTATCTATCTATCTATCTATCTATCTATCTATCTATCTATCTATCTATCTATCTATCTATCTATCTCCCTTTTTCTCTCTCTATCCATATACAATAATTAATGTTTTCTCAATGTAACAGCATATTCAATTGCCAATAAAGTAATGATTGGAACATTCTTCTCGCAAATCTTAAATCTCTAAAATTTCAATACTTTATTTAGTTTGGTGACAAAAATAAACTTGACATTTTCTAGCAATTACTGAAAGCAATTAAGACAGTTTGTTTTTGTCAGATGAAATTAAGGTTCAGCTGTACTAGGTGGATTTGGCCTGAAAAATGTAGAAAAGTATCCCATTCTCACTATTAAGTACTAGTGGAGTGAAACTTTGGGTTGTTGTCCCTCATGGGCCTTTTTTTTTAATTAAAAACTTATGAATAAACTGAAAACAACTTCCTAGTAGGGCCTTTGAAGCAGAATGATCCATACCATATTGCCAAATTAACACAGTAATGAGTGATCAGTCACTAAACCACTCCACTGGCATGGCAATCTTACTTCTCAGACCTAATTCAAAAAAACTGGAGATGGCAATAGACCCCTCTTCTGTATGTTCAAATGCTTAAAATATCAAATGTTTCCATACGTTTCTGTAAAGTGATTGAGTAATAAACAGCAGTTTATATGCACATAACCGAACTGCTTTTCAACAGAAGCTGTAACTTTGAAGACTGGAGTGGCTACGAACAGGTGATTTGCTGCTCTCTGGTGGCAAAAACAAACCGCATGGTTTTAACCTGAGCCGTAAAAACAACCTCAAACTTACTTTATCAAAAACTCTTCTATTTATACCGACAAAACCACCTGTTTGTCCAGTGCCAGAGATTTTTTCTACCAAGCTTTAAGAACTGGTGAAATAATGGCGGTTATACATAAAAACAATCTAAGCCAATAAAAATGTTTGTGAAGCAAGGCCACTTAACATTTCAATATTTGCTTGAGGAAAACACATCTCAAATAAGAAATACATTCAGAAATTATGAACCCAAACCCTTCCTTCAGGTCAGATCTTAAACATCCCTGAGTTTTCTACATATAACTATGTTGTGCATGACTTGTTGGTAATAACTGAAAACTTCTGAAATATCTCTATGCAGTCTGACAACTTAAAACATAAAGATCAGCAATAAGGAACTTCACTTCAGGCAGCTTTAAACTTTTTAAATGAAAAAAAGCACCACAAATAAACAGAGCAAATAGATTTTATTAGATTTTATTTCAGCAACGTAAAGCTCAAACAAATAGGATCAATTCTAATATTCACACCCTAATTTAAAGGTATTTATGGCACAAACCAAAGGATACAGGAGTTATACGATGACGGCCCAGACTTATCTGCAACACAGAGCAACAGACTGCAATTTGTTAAATGCTATACCAGAGCTGAGATGAAACGTGTCTGCAGCACTTTGTCAGTCCTGAGATATTTCAGTGGAGTTGGTTAAATCATAAGAAATAAACCAGAGATGACACTGTAAAATCCAGCCAGGGCGGAAAGCAAAAAAAAAAAAAAAAAAAATTTAAATAGACAAAAAAATATATATATATACAGAGCGTAAGCTGTCTAATGAGGGGAAAAAAATGTTTAATAAATGTTATTGAAATGGTGAGAGTCGGGTCTTCGGAAGATAGTAGTGAGAGATAATGCTACAGGGTCTGGTTCCTTGGACTCAGTTTAAATTAAAATATGTGTACATAACCAATGTTTATTTTCTGCATTCCTTTCTGATGGGTTGTGTATTTGCATGTGTAGGAAATAATTTCAGAGCCAAAAAACGAGCAATTTACCTTACCTGTACTTTTCCTTTAAAGCTAGTTTTGTAGAGATGAGTCTGAAATCAGAAAGTGGCTTAATCTTGGAGAAAACTGGCCTATAAAACACCTTAAGATGCATTAATATATTTAGTAAACCATTAGGAAGCCTTAATCAATACATTTCTAATCCAATCTCTTTTCTTTGTGTTTTTATTGCACTTTTATTTTTTAAAGAAAAATCATTTTAAAGCCCATTACTGCTTAAATGATGCTCTCAGTCATTGGCACCCTTGACAGAGATGTGAAAGCCTTAAATGTTTATTCTATAAACAAAATCCCTGATAAAAAGTTAGAAAAATCCAAACTAGTTTTGCCACCTGATATTTATTCTACTGGGTTTTCAATCCTCCAAACTTACTTTATGTTCACTTTTAATTCCCATCAGCCTGTTTGTTGCAGCGTTTTCCTCGTTTTAGTCTATTTAGATTTAACTATCGTATGCATTTTGTTTAAATACTGTACTGATTGCTGCAGCGCAGCACTTTCTTTCATAGGAGTTACAGAAATAAAATTGATGCTTACCAACAAAAGAAATGCAACAGAAGAAGTTTTTAATTTTTTACACTGATCAGTATCAAGGACTCCAAATAAATATCCTGTTTTTGGGGGGTATAAATATGACTTTACAAGTGAAATTCTCTCAGCCACTCCTCCAAATGGAAAAAAAAAAAAAAAACAAACATGTCACTCAAGTAAGCTAGATACAGATGTGTGTTAATCTCCGTAAATCAGAAAAAAAGGTTTAAATAACACTCCTTACCAGAACTTGCTCTTATTTACAGTATGACAAAGTAAATATTTTAAACTTAAAACAAACTGAGCTGCAATGAACAAGGCTGGATGATAACTTAACGTGAGCACATACAGTAAGGTGGGATGGGACATGGCAAAAAAAAAAAAAAAGCCCACTTTAAGATAACTGCGGTAAAGAGTGGTAACAATAATATATTTTAAGGCTTTTAGATGCATCTTGTATCAGGGGCACCAATGAATTGTGGAGGACATAAATGACACCACATGGGATCTCAGTGCCATTTGATGCCTAATTCTTCCCTTCTCTGTGCAAATGCAGCTATTAATTGTGTTATTTGCATTAACACACAGTCTACAGTTGCATGCACAACATTTTCTGGCAACGCAAAATACTGATTGCTGCCCACTTTCATAGCATTGTCTTTGGGATGTGCTAATTTCAGAGACTACATACTGAACTGCTCAAGTTAACATCTGTTTTACACAGAGATCACATAATACAAAGAAAATATTGTTCAAAGGCTCGCTTATAATTTATTAGTGTTCTTGCCACAGATCCAGAGTAATTCTGTGTCCAGATTTTGCACATTAATTTCAACAAAAAAAAGAAAAGAAAATCATTATTGATGTGTATGAAATCAGTTGTATAATGCATGAAATGTCAGTCCATATTCATTAAACTAGCTTGTGTGAGCAACACTGAGGATTTACTTTCTCATTTTCCCCATAAAATTTCAATTTCAGCTCTGTGAGAACATCCAAAGCGACTTTTACTGCTGGGAACCATTAATAATTACTAACAGCAGCAAAGAAACTGATCATCCCCCTCTTCAGCTTTACTTCAAGCTGTTGCAGAGAATATGACTTAAAACGTTTAGCTGTATTTCATCTTTGGTGGTTAGTTATTCTGCAGTAGCGTTTATTCAGGTGGAGCAAAACAAGAAAAAGAATGTCCTTAAACCAAAACCAGACTTAAAGGATGAAACCCCAGCTATTATACAGTATCATGTAAACCAGTGTCATCAATATAACGTCTTTAAGGAGATGGCTGAAGTGTGAACACTGCAAGAAATACAGAGAAGGGGTAGTAGTGTTTGAATCTTCAAATAGTCGTCTGTTAGAACAATGAGAGGGGCGGAAGGAGGAAGGAAGGAGGAAATAAGGATGGAGACAGTTAACAGACTTCGGAGTGCTTGTCTTTGTGTGTGCAGACGTGAGTAGGTGTGTCAAAGTTCTGATCCCTCTGCATACGAGGGAAAGATTTTGTGAACGCTCAAGGCTGGGGAAGATTATGGCCACAGGGAGGAGTCGGAGCACCGGGCTCCTCTGTTGCGTCTCCGGTTCAAAGCGGGGAAACGTTACGCCAGGGAGCGCTGACGAGGCTTAATTCGAGGACAAAGCTGCAGAGGCAAACACAAATCAAAGTTATTTTGCTTTCCATAATTCATACTAAATTTCTAGGGTTAATGAACTATTTTAATCATCTTTTATTTCTACTTCTCAATAATTGTGTCATTTTATTCTACATTGTTTAAAGTAAAGCAGAACTCAAAATAGTTACAAAGTAGAAACAATAAGCAACAGTACATGATAAAATATGTCTAGCAAATGCTGTTAATTACAAATGTAACCAGGATTTGAATCTTCTCCCTGTATAATACACAGACATGACAATTAGCACATAATTAGCAGTGATAGTAACCTTTAGATCTCTCCAATATGCCTCCTCTTGTCTGAAAAGGAGATTTAAGTTGCCATACTCTGTGTCAAACTATTAAACTGCTTTGATAATTTCCATTAACTCTTTATTTTTAGTAGCTCCCATGTTTGCAATTTCAAAAGCAGCAGGTCAATTTAATCTCTGAACAGCATCAGCATGTTATCAAATCTGCTCTGTTACACAAGACATTATGTTGCTGCTTATAAAGACACAGCTTTCCAAACGAGCTCAGGTTTGGATCCTCTGCCCACCAAGTAACCCAGAAAGACAGCCTTAATTGGAATTTATAAATTTCTTTATAAAATATGTGGACGATTAATTAGTTTGATAAAGGAAACCTTTATCTCACTGTCTATTAATCCAAAGATTTATTTTTCACAGTTAAATGGAGGTTAAATTTGAACACAGTTATTTCTTCCAAGGTAATTGAAAGGGGTCAATTCTGAAATTCAAAAAAACTGAAATACTTTATGGCAGTATAATTTAGAACAGAAGAATATTAAGCCTGCTGTACCCCTAGCAGGTTGCGGGGCACGTAGCCTTCCTTGTCCTCCAGTCGTGACCACCACCACTCCGTTTCATTTTCATCCTGCCGCCGCAGGATTGTGATGGCGTCCCCCTCCTTGAATGACAGCTCATCTTGACTCTGGGCTTCGTAGTCCCACAGAGCGTACACCGTGCCCTTGTTCATCACACCCAGCTTCTCCTGAACGCCTGCATAGGAGAGTCCAGAACAGTTTGTGTCCGATTTCAAGAAGATGAAGCAGCAGCAGGATTATAATACCAGAACTTTCCTCTCTGTGGTCCTTTCTCACCGTATAAAAACTGGGAACACTGGATGTAGCCCTCCTCCATTTCCTCACATTTGTCTGCTGCCGTCTCCACATCACTAATGGTGCTTGCAAAGATGGCGGCTCCTGACTCCACCAACAGTTTGCAGAGATGAACGCTGTTGCAGGAGGCGGCGCAGTGAAGAGGAGTCCTGCTCAGATGAGCACAAACAGTTAAAAAAAGGAGACGCGAGCAGAGTCATGATTAGAGCACTATGGCGTCGACTCAACAGACTCACCATCCGTCGCTGTCTGCCGCATTGACATTCACGCCGAAATCTAGCAGGAACTTGACGATGTGGTGGTGTCCTGCACACACTGCGTTGTGCAGAGGTGTGATCCCCTCATCGTTGGGAGTGCTAGGATTCTCCACCTGGAGGAAAGGAGAAACATGAGGGCTAATCACCGCCCTAAAAATGATGAACTTCCTCATCTTCTTCCCATAAATACACTAAGATTTTTGATTTTAAAGGGACAGTGTCATGTATTTTCTGGGCACACAGTGCCATTTTATAGCACAATAAAGTAACTGTGTTACCTTCAGTTGTTATAAAAATGCTATATTATCAAACTGAAAAAAATGTCTTTGAAATTTAACGCTGGTAAAAACGATCAAATTTAAAGGACTCTGTCTCTTCAAGAAGCCCATAGTCTTTCCCACACTACACCCTGTAATTGCAAAAACATTTTTCTGGTATCCCATTAACAGCATCATAAGCAGAAGCACAGCTATATCAGGTGTTTCCTGATTGCTGCTGCTAGTCTGAAGGAGCTGAGTGGGGCAGTCACTGGCATACTCTGTGAGGCGGAAGCTCAGCTGGGAAACGGCAGCTTCAGGGAAGAGCTATGTTGAAAATGCAGCACTCACTGAAGAGTGACCGTTTTCCCATCCTGAATGATTGCCACGGGAGATTAGAGGATTTCTCAAACATGCATGAAAGAATCATAGCAATTCTTTGATTTTACATAATTCCAAATTCCCCGTTTAAAGTAAAATGCTCATGGGGTGTGATTGTTTTTGCACAGCTCTATGAATGAAATGTACATAAGACATTCATCTGAAGGACATACCTCATAGATGATCCTCTGAACTAGATCAAACTCTCCCTCCAGTGACGCATCAAGCAGCAGGGCTAAAGGATTAAACTTGACTCTGAAGCCATGACCGGTGCGCTCAGAGTCGGGTTTTTTCAAGTTTGTGCGCTTCTCCTTTAACAAAAAACAGAAATGTCTTTTAAGTTAGGAAAAAAAGTTAAAGTTGTATTAGAAATAAGAATACACCTCTGCAGTGGCTCACCAGTTGTTGAGAGACTGCGGTCTCGCTCTCCTCTGGACTGCTGACCTCTGGTACCGGACTGGGCAGAGATGCCTCAGAGTTTCCCACGTTGTTGTTGTTGTCGTCCTCAGGTTCCTCCTCCTCGCCTGGATCCGCAGCTCCTTCTGGTACCTTGGGTTCGTTGTCATTGGCGTCGTTGGTAGAGGATGCCTCAGAGCCTGGTTCCTCCCCTCCTGATGGTGGCGGTAGCTGCGTCTCAGGGAGGAGGTTGCCGTTGTTTGTGTCAGCCAGCGAATCGCCTCCCAGGTATCCGGGTGGAATAGCCGGCTGATAAAACGGCGTTCCATTACCGCCGCCATTACTCCCACCTGATCCACTGCCACCATTCCCCTCTATGCCTCCAGCCAAAGTGTTAAACCTCTGGTAGAGAAGTTTCTGGATGTTGGGTCCGCTGGGGCCCTCTGGTTCTGTGATGGAGCTCCGCTTCTTCAGTGGTCTTGGAGCGTTGGCTAGCTTTTTACGGAGCACTTCCAGGTCTGCGTCGCTCTGGTAACGGAGAGGGGAATGAACCATAGGCGTAAGCTTCGTGGGACTGAGTGGCCGTGGAATATTCTCCACACTGGGAGGAGGTGCCGATGGTTGGAAGCTCTCTGGATCATCAAGTTCTCCATCTACAGAGTCGTCGCTGCCGGCTAGGCCTTGGAGTGCCGGGAATGCTCCGCCTGCCTGGACGTAAGGCAGGGGGGATGCTGGTGTCGAGCTGGAGGAGAGAACAGGCTTCCCATAGACTAGATGTAGAAATAGAAAGTGAAGAAGCAAACAGGGATTTCAATGAGATGTTTTTTATATATTATTACACTTCAAAAACACAACAAAGTTTGAGTTATAACTGTTTCATCAACATTAAGGCGTCATTGTCTTACAACAAGCTCCCATTTCTTGCTGAAAAGTTACTTGTAGCTTGTGTATTATTTCAAGTGTACCAACATATTTGCACTAGAAACTAGGCCCGAAGTCCTTGGGTAGATTTAGAGTTTTTGTAGAAAGATTCTTAAGACTTACCTGCTTTAACAGCAGGCTTCAATGGTTGGCTCTTTGGCGCAGCATGCTGCAGATACATGTGATAAATGGAGCTTGAGTTCACGGTAGGTGGGCCCTTGCGGGGCGACTGAGGCCGCGTTCCTCTGTCCGGGATGAAGGGGCGTACTGCAACGGCGGGCGGGTGATCCAGACGCTCGCTCAGTGCGGGAGGGAAGAGCGGAACATTGGGCTGGAAGGTGGGACTCGGCGGTACGGAGATCCGCTGCTGGATCTGCTGAGAGGAGGAGCCGGTGGAGGATGGCACACGGGGCCACGCGGGCGCCGGAGGGTTCGGAAGGGGCCGCGGGGGCGGTGCATCTTTGCGGCGCTCCAAGGAGCTGGCTGTATTTGCGGAGGTGAGGTGGGATCCGTACGGCGGCGGCTGCGGCTTGGTTATGGCAGGGGAGGACACAGCAAGTTTTGGATCTAGCACCTGCAAAAAAGCAGCAAATCGACAAGAATTTTTTTTCACGAAGGATCAAGTGTCACGGTTCTGTAAAATAAGATATAATTTGCATTTGGTTTATTTAATAAATATATTAAGTTTTTGAAAATAAATCAGCTTCACAATTTATTTGATTGAAAGCATCTTGTATCATGGTTGCAGTTTCTGAATGGCAATATTGATAAAGCAATCACTTCCCTGGATATTTTCTTTATTGGTAAAATAAAGTAAAATATTATTAGCATGCAGAGTTTGAATTCAATGTGTTTGAAATAGAACATAGTTTTTTAGGATATTGTAGAAAATGAAATCACAATTTGATCCATTCTAAGCTGTAATATGTAGAAAAATTGTATTTGGTTGGAAAATAAAAGAACAAACATTTAAATCAAACTGAAGCGTGAAATTTAAAAGGCAAAACAACTTCTTGTGTAGCTGATTTTGCTGTCAATAATTTTGCAAAAATAAAACTTAAAACACAAGTTTCTTTGAATATGTTTAAAATATGAATATTGAGATATTATTATGTCCTCACAGGTTTAAAAAGCACAATTGAATTGATTGTAGTTAATCAAGTTTCAGAAGATTAAGTAGTGGAGATTAAAACTAGTCAGCTTACCTTTTCTGCATTTGGGGTGACGGGGGAGCCTGAGGTGGGGCTCTTGCCCTGACTGTCGGCCCCTGAGTCTCGTCTCTCAGGAGGCTTCAAAGTTGTGCTGGACTTGCCTATGGTGGGCCAACCAGTGTCATTAGCTATGACAAAACCAGGACACAGTAAGAATGTTACAAAATATTAATACAAATGCTTTTTACTACTAACCATAGTGACAAATGCCACTAAGAAAAGCGACAACTAATCTGACTTTGACGTTTTGTATGAAATGTTTGTTCAGGGCTGTCTGGAATTTTAGAGAGGGAATGTAAACATGTTACCAATTCAGATGAAGGAGTCAGGATTTTTACATGTTGATCCTATTAACCAGAAATCATGAAGTGACAGACAGGTGAAACTATTTTTATGGTTCTCAAGGTTTTTAATCTGTATGTTCCAGGAATCAGAACCACTTGATGGGGTGTTGGCTTTTGATTCAGCAGTCCGATAACGAGTGTTCGAGCTCTGAGTCAACATGAATCAGATCTATTACAAAACAAGCATCCTCAAATCCAGAACATATTATTATCCACTGAAAACAGGTTCTTTCATTTATTTCATCTTTGAACATGCTAAAATATTTTCTCAATGTTTTCTTTGTTTGCAATCTGAACCACGAGTCTCGTTTAAAACCCTGATCTGAAAAGCTTAGTGACAAAGAAAAATGTGAAACAGCTCTTTTATATTTAAATGAGTCGATTAACTGAAATCAATGACTTTACAAAAAAGTGTGTGAAATTAAAATAAATGAATATAGAAATATACAAAAATAGTCTTAAGAATGTTGTGTCATGTTGGATCACGGAAAAAGGAATTAACTCTCCTTTTCCAATATTCCCTTTTCAAAACCCATCCAAAATTTAAATATGAATCTGATAAAATTAGATTACGTTTTTTAAGACTGAAGAAACCCTATGTTTGCTTCTGATATTGATAGGTATACACCAATCCAGTGATGAGATATCTGAACCTAAATCAAATCTGGGAAAGTCATTCAACTTAATATTTAAGATGTCTAGATGATCTTAAATCTGTCTGAATAGATATTGATCAAAAACAGGGTTCAAACAGATATTCTAGAAAGGAAGACTGATAAATAGGACAAAAAAATCCTGAGGCTCAACTTCAGAGCAATGACAATGGATTTGCATGCATTAGTAGAACAGAATAGAATAGGATGTAGTTGCTGCACTTGAAGTAAGACGTGCGTTCAGGCTGAAATAATAAATGTTTTCATTAGATTTGAGGGGGAAAACAAAATCTCTTTTACAAAGGTGTGTCTTTTAGACAGCAAGGAAAGAGAAATTGGATAAAGAGAAAAAGAAAAACAGAGCAGCAGAAGTAGATGAAGACAACGAAGTCGGAAAACCATAACGCTGAAGACCAATGACATGTTTAAGAGATTTCATCAGACGTTACCAGATTTCTTTTAGGTCTTAGATCAAGTGGAGACTAATTGTGGAGACTTTATCCACAATATTGCTAACAAAGCTGAAGCAGTATGGGTCACATCATGCTGTTGCAACCTTCAATAAATTGAATGGGAAGCGATAATTTTCACTTTATTAAGCAAAACTTTGAACGGTCAAATTGAAACTGCACCTTTTTTTTTTACCTTAATATTGTGGTAAAGGCATTTTTGATACTTGAATCACAATCCTTACTGATAAGGAAATCTTTTAGATTCAAGTCAATGTCTTGTGCATGCAAAGTGTCTGACAACAGCAAATGCTTCCTACTGTTTTATATGTCACAATATTCGCATGAAGGTTAGTGCCACGACAGGCCATCAAGGAATGTTATGAAACAGAAAAATAAAGGTCATCGGCTGATTTGTGTATGAAAACAAATGAGGCATTGAACTCTTCGAACCTTCTCAAAACTGTAAATAACAGGCACAGGATCAGCAGTGCTTTGATCACAGTCTCTCTAATAACTGCAAACATGCATTTTCAAATTAATTTAACGTTATGTTTAACTGTTATGATGTAGCATATGAATAAAATGTACAGAGTTGTACAAAAGTATTAATACCCCTTAGAGTTCTTTATTTTGTCACATTACAACATCAAACTACAGTGCATATGTCAATTTAAGAAAAGACCAACACACAGCAGTACGTAACTGTGACATTCAAGAAAAGGACAGACTTTGACCATTTAAAATCAGAAAAAAAAACAACAAAAAAAAAACAAGACTGTTTGCATCAATACTTTGTTGAAAAAAAATTGTCATTATGGCTATAAGCTTGCAATATTGCAACAAAAAAATATGCTTCAATCATAGCTCTGGTGATATGTTAAGTTGAGCCTCTGCTTCAGTCTACTGTATTTTGCAGACTATAAAATGGCTGTCTTGTAGTTTTGCCCTAGCTTTACATTCTCCCACCTGGGTGGTGGCTCTCTGCAGCTCCTCCAGAGTTACCATTAGGCTCTTGGCTGCTTCGCTGATTATTGTTGTTCATCACAGTTATGTGCTGCTTTTTGTTGGTCTATCAGACAAAATCCTAATAAACTTTATAAAAGTTTGTGGTTGTATTACAAAGTTTGTAACATTGTAATAATGTAAAGGGGCATAAATACTGAACTCAGGCATTGTACTGCATTGCTGGTCTGCAAATATTGGAGCAACTCATCATAACGCAATCACTTTACTATAAAAACAGAAATTAGTTTCTGAAGATTTCAAGGATTCCAAATAACTGTCTTTTTTCTAATCAGGAGTAAAATACTGAATGCATACTGAGGATCCTGTGCTACAATCAAGAGAAAAGGTTCAGTCGTTGCCCCTCCTTTGCATATGCAGCTCTGAGCACTCACGGGACGTGCCGTCAGAGCCACTGGAGGCTCCGGGGCCCGGGTGTGACTCTGGAAAGGACGGGGGTACCGGGTCCACAACGATGTCTAAATCAGACACTTTCCAAGGACCGGGAGGCTTTCGCACACCGTCTGCCCAAAAGCCCAACCCCCAATCGAAACAGAGACATTACATGGACATGACAGAATCGACACGAGGAGAGACCAGGACAGACAAAGAGAGTTCACACGACACAGGAAGATAGTGAAGGTTAGAGAGGAGGGAAACAGAAGTTACAGAGGTCAAGTCAAAGCTAAGATCTAACAGTTCAGATTGGGAAGATTCATGCAGGAAATGTTCAATGTGAAGAAGAGAAAAAGCTGGTTTGTCCAAAGTGCATGCCGAATTCCTGATATCCTAACAGTAAATTTATTTTTTTAAGTCACTGTTTTAGTTAGGAATTTTGCCTCTGATATCAGGTGAAATAATATCTTGTACAGTTTTTTTTTTAATGGAAATATTGTTATTCAATAAAGTTCATCCCACCTGATTTAGGACGACCCTGGTTGGCTTGGTTATTCACACCTAGTGTTTGAGGCTTGAGAGGATCAGGCGGTAGGGTGTAGCCCCCATCCTGTCGGCTTGGTACTGGAACCTGGATGTAGGGCCCAACAGCAGCAACCCGACCCAGAGTACCGGGGGCCGGTTGAGGGGAGGGAGGCCCGTTGGCTCTATTGAGCTGTAAGGAGAGCGTCGGACACATTTCAGACGTTATGATGGAGAACTATGGATACTTTCAGAGTATTTGAGGAAAGCTGCAGAACTGATGTTTCATTTTGTATTTGACTATAGAGATTTTTAACTCCCAGCTATCAGTTTAAATGACCAACTTTTAAAACTTGAGAAAAATATCCACTTAAAAAATACATTTTAATGTGTAAATCTCTTGAACAACATCAGCCCTTCTCAAAACTACCAAACATTCAAGAAATTTGAGAATTTAAACTTTTGACTTCAAATGTCAGTCTGACTGCTTGATGACACTTTTTATTAACATGACTTAATTTTCCAATCATATGCTTGGAGACAGTTCTTAAAATGTTTATATTTTTTAAGAGAGTGAGTTTTTTTTTTGTAGTCTAGAGTAATGTGCTGCACTATAAGTGTCTTTGCAAAGCTGGGAGGGTTTAAGAGATTCTTGTAAAGGAGAAAAAGAAAAGACAGCAGCAGAAATGGACAAAAATATCCATGATGAGGCCTGAAGGGTAAAGAGACAAAAACTCAAGCGATGGATTGAGTGTTCCTAGTCTTACAGGGAGATTTTCTTTATGACGTGCCTCAGCTTTTTTCTTGTAGAGGCGTTCCCGCAGCTCGCTGATCCGCTTGTCCATGAGCGTCACTTCCATGTTGCGTTTGTTCAGAAGCTCCTTCTGCTGCTGCAGTTTGCTGTTCTGCTCCTGGTTCAGCTTGTTCCGAATCTGAGGAGCATAAACGCCTTCATCACTGCAGCCTGAAGCAAAATAAACGTCTTGTAAGCAGTGAGAACATGCAGAGCACTACCTGAAGTTCTTGGTAAAGCTTTCTGAGCTCTAAGGCCGCTGCGCCGGTCACTTGGCCACCCAGGCCGGTCTGTATGCCATTGAGCTTTCCTCTTCGCAGGTCCTCCAACTGCAGGCTGAGCTGCTCCACCCTCAGCACGGCCGCCTGCAACTCAGCCTGCTTCTCTTGAAACAAACTGGTGACTTGTTCGATCTCTGCCGCTGGACGTCAAAACAAAAACCCAACAAAATCAAACATAAATGCTATTTATGTTTATGCTAATAGTCATGAGAAGGAAAAAAAATGCTTTCTGGAAAGCATACAAATACATTTTTCTATAGTTAATTTTTTTTTTATCAAAATCATTGCAATAACTTATTTATGTAGAATTACTACCAGGATATGGACTTAAAAAGCTAGAAGAAAAAATCAGAGTACACTTGGTAATTTTACATACACAAGTTGCCGTTGATGACCTTGCTGTAGTCCACCTGGCCTCTCATGGCTCGAATCTTTTTGAGCTTCGCTTCCTGGCTCTCCACACGCTCCTTGAGCCTCTGCAGCTTCTCACTCTCAGACACAGTTTGCTGCTGCCGCCTCTCCTGTTGCTTTAGGTAACGCAAACGTTGCTCCTGAAAAATAAATAATTATATATTTTTTTTATCTGTAATATTAAAAATGAAACAGAGATAATTATTTTACCAGGAAGCAAAAAAATGTGGAGGCTTTATTTTTTTGTAAACTGTCCAATATCAGAAGGACAAAACATTGACCTCTGCTCCAACAAAACAAATTACTCTTGCAGGCAAATAAAACACACAAGATACTATCTAACACAGGACGAGGAAGACACACTTTTAAAGGCTGAATAGGTCTAGAGTGTGTATTAAACAAGACACTTCATTGTGTCAGGAGGGCTGAGGAAAGGGTCAGATGACTTCATCTCTATCCAAGTGAGAATTGCTCCAGTTAGGGTCCTAAAATAAGAACCGACAAGCCCGAATTTCCAAATGACTGCAGGGCTTCATGTGAGGCCCACTTTTCACACATCACAACAAAAGGCAATACACTGTTATGTTATTTTGGGGTCTACAGTGGCCTTTATCCTGCATGACTGATCAGCAAAACCACAAACATGCAAGTCAGGGTAAGACTGCGTCTGGTTCTGTTTCTCCCATTACAGAGACTGAGGAGAACATCTCAGTGACTCAAACACAACAGACGGAGCCAAATATAATCACAATCTAGGCCTGTCACAATAACAAATTTTGCTGGACGATAAATTGTCCCAGCAGTTGTTGTGATAAAAGATAATGTGGTTACATCACATGTTTAAGTAATATAACGGTAACGGCAAAAGTAATAATGCAAGAACACAATCTCAAATATCAATAAAGTTTAAATTCTGATAAACATGTAACACTGTAACTGGAAAAAAATGTAAATATCCAAAATGAATAAAACAACAGATAAACTGAATATTTACTACATTGTCCCTCAAATAAGGGCTAGTTGAGACCAAAACACCAAACTGAAGACTTTTTTTCATCCAGTATGTGGTAGAAAGAGAGTGTGAATGAAAATTATTGAGTTTGTTTTAATTTATCATGCAATTAATTGATTTATTGACTATTGTGACAGGCCTATTAACAACATCAACAGCCATAAAGAGGCTTTCATGGCTTAACATTTACGCTTGAAATACCTTAATGAATTTTATGTTTCTAAATGTGTTTAAAGTTTCTTTGCCAAAAGTCACACTATAATCCATCCAACTGGTTATGTAACAGCTTGGTCCCCGTTTAAGGTCAAGAGAGAATCTTTGCATGACACAAACATATAAGCAGTTCACTGGATTTCTGTGTCCTGAAGTTAACCGAACCGAATGCACGAGAGTAGCTATCAGCTGGCTTTCCAACAATCAGAGAGATCCATCATCTAAGCATTATAGATCAGCTCAAAGAATGAATAATCTGCATCATATTGAAATGTTTGGATAATCCTCAAATTGATTAAAAACATAAAAGAAGCTGGGTGGCTCAGTTTGTGAACCGTACACTAAGAATACAGGTCTGGGTTCAATTCCTTGTCTCAGGCCATTTGCTGCACAGCTTAATGATTGATTGATGAGGTCCAAGAATTGAAGGCCTCCTTGCCATCACACTCATATTGAGCTCTTTACTCAGATTTTTTGTAAGATCCAATTCAGGACTCTGAACCAGGCCACTCCAAAATAGCTAGCAGTATTTCTTCCAGTCAGAAGAAACATATTGGTGAAACTAAAAGATTACTTTAAACCTAAATATGACAAAGTGTCAATGATTTTGGGTTTTTTATTTTATTTTTTTCCAACAGTACTTTATGCAACCGCTAAAAATTATACAAATCCTCAAGCATTGTGATGGAGCTTCTTTACTTGCAAGTTTCCTATTGCAAGTATTTTATATTTAATACTCAAGCATTAAATATTAAACAATTAAGACTGAGAATCTCATACTTAGTCATCAGCCCATGCTTTTCCCTGAAACAACTGTCTTCATCTACCCATTAGGTCAAATGAAAAAAAAAAACAGAAAAATTTCTTGTGCTTTCATTATGCAATTGCAGTTTTTAAGAAAAACTGCAGCTGTTGAGCACAAAAACACTAATATAGATTTTTTAAAAAAAAAATACTGTCAAGAAAAGTTACACTGATAGGTCTTTTCCTTGTAAGATGTTTTCACATGGAATGACTCTTGTTTGAGGTTTAAGTGGAAAAAACAAAATATCTTTGTAAAAAAACATTGTATAGGTCTGGTTTACAAAACTAAATTCTACTCCTCTTTTTCTTTTTTATAAAATAAGTAAAACAGTTTCAGCTAGATGAACATTTTATTTTTTATCCTTATTTTTCTTTCTCTGCAAAAGTTATACATTTATACTCTTTATGCTGAGAGTTCCAGAAAACCAAATTAAATTCCTTGTTAGTGCAGTTTGGGCCATTAAGTGGGTGTTAACGTAATATTGGACAAATTCAATTTAGAGGAGACATGAAATGCAAACAATGTGACTTCATCTTGCCACCCCAAAAAAGATACAGTAAACAGAAACTTGCTCTGAAAAATAGATTGAAAAAAAGGTTTTACCTTTGCAACAAGCATCTGCTGCTGAGCCTCGATCTGTTGCTGCTGCCGGGTGGCCATCTCCTGCAGCTCTGACAGCGTGAGCTCCACACGCTGATTCCCCACCTACAAAACACACACACATTGGTCAAGACACTAAAATCTAAACATAGTCATCCCAATGTTGACACACACTGAGTTGTTACAAAAAGTGCTGATATACACACAGCACAGAGGACGGCTAAAGATTTCCAGTCAGGTGAAGAGAACTGATGGGTCTAATTGTGTAGAACCACCCTGCTTTCTTATAAACGCAAATGTCTGTTGAGCAAATATAAATAAATAAAGCAAAAATAGGCTTAAGTATTAGAGCTTAAATTTCCATTACTAAGAGCTGCCGGATTCAGAAAAGTTCATGACCGGAGATTTTGCTTCTTCCCTGGAGCTTTGATGAGTAGGATGCTTTACTTTAGCGGATACCCGGCTTTTCATTCAGCCAGGACATCAAGGTTTAACAGCTCGGAGCAAAAAGCTGGAAGAGCTGAAAGCTGCCACTGAGATATAGTGTGACGTGGTGGTGTGTCCCAAAGTCACCACTCAGGTGAATGTCCCATAAGTCTGCACATCAACGACAAATGTATAAAAAAAAAAAAAATTTTAAAAAGGCACTAAGTGCAGAATAATACATGTTGCGTCCAAGTTATATAAGCAAAGCTCATTATATAAGTTAATAAAAAAAAGTGCCAGAGTAAAATACAAACTGACAAGTTACACAAAATATTATATTTGTATAAATATTAAAGAGATATCCGACTCAATTTGGCACAACAAAGTATCTCTTCAAACATTATATGTAATAAAAACTCAGTGAGACGATGAGGACAATGTGCCAATTAGTGTCAAGAGCTTAATAACAGTTCATATGACAGAGAGGGCATCACAATTACACAGCAGAGCTTCAACCAGTCAAATACACCACAGTAAGTCTCCAGGAAACATTTCTCACAGTAAAAGGAAACTCTGTCCACAACTCCACCACATAAGACGTTGACCTTCATATCGTTTCCTCAATACTGTTCACAGCTGAGAGTTTGACACAAGTACAGATTATGCTTTCTAAATAATAGGAGTGGGGTGAATGCTTGCAGTGGTTTCAGATGGAAAAATGGCTTTTAATTTTGAGTTGGCAATTTGTTTTTCTGTTCAGTAAATTTTACCAGGTCATAATAAACAACACTGGTCACTGTAGAATAAATTACTGAAAGAAAGGTACTGTATCCAAGTTAAGTTATTTTTAGTACTATTGAGGTTTAAAAACTTTACTAGGAAACACTCAGACTGAAGTAATGATACCAATGGCAACTGTTACTAAACGTTAATATCAGTTTGAAATGTCAAATCCAAATGATCTTGTCTTCATTTTAAAATAAGAATGAGGCGTGACTTTATGTCTCCGTATAACAAAACACAGCTCACAGTAGTGAAAAACATACTTTGAACATCCAATTCTCGTACATAATAAACAATATGCAGGTTAAAGCTTTAGAAAAGATGAAAATCAGAAACAAAACTTCACCTGAAAAATGGTTCACTGTTGATATGAGGTAGCAGTTATGTTTTGATGGTTGTAAATAGAGGAGTACAAATTGTGTTTCAATATTTATTTTAACAATTTTTTGCTCAAAAGTGACAACCATTGGATGAAAACAAAATTTGGTTTTGAAAATGTAACCATCAAGATAGCTCTGGGCAGCTATAGGATAGTTAGAATATCCAATATCTAGCTTGGATATTTCAGATTTCAGAATATTGAGAGAAGCCAAACATGCAGGGAAAACCTTCCAACCAGCAGGCTGGAATCTACAGACATTTTGTTCTGAGGTCAACATCGTAAACACTGCTTATAATCTACTAAATCACCACCTTGTGATACATTTTATAGGCTGCCAATTGGTAGGATTTTTTATAGTCGTTTCAACTACTGGAGAAATTCCCCTCTTCTTTGTTTATGCACCTCAGTGCGGTTCACAGACCTCCTCCAAATTTAGCGTCTCTTATCTCAGAACAGGCAGCATTCCTGACAAAAAGGGATCGGAGGAGAAACTACATAATAACGGTTCACATGTTGCTGAGTTTACAGGAGAAACAGGAGTTTACACTGACAAACTTCTGCTAAACTTCACAATTGTAAAAAATAAAAAAATCTTTAAAACTTCATAATAAATAAAGCCAATATAGACTGGAGATTATATGTCAGTTGCAGTTATATTTTAACATCAACTAAATTACCTTTTTTTGGGACTTTTTTTTGTATGTTTCTGGTTTCTAATGCATATTTACAAAATTGTGAACGAAAAAAAAAACAATTGATTGGGCCCTAAATAACATGTAGGATGTGCAATGCAACTACAACCCACTCCAATAAAACATTTACAACATCCATGTACAACTATCTGTAGAAGCTGCTGAAATATTAATAATGGTAGCTTTCACCACCACATCCATCCCAGTCCTCCTCTTTTTTATCTACAGAAAACAATACTAAAATGATACCTGAACGCTTTCAAAACAAGGCAGATGTTTATTATGCCTTCACTTCTGTTTTCCTCCAAACCAAACCTCTGAACAACATCCAAAGATGCAGCTGCCTTTGAGTGAAGAAGCATTCTCAGTGAACTAAAGCTTCTCTAACCTGCCTTCCTGACATGCTTGAAACTCTCCCAGACTTTGTCTTCGGCTCGGATGTACAGAGAAAGCAGATGGTGCCAGACATGTGAAGGTGACCTCCTTTTAATGTGGAATACTAGCACAGAAAGAGTTCAGTTTGCTGCTAAAGAGATTAGCAAGAGGATTACTGAGAAAGTATTTGTATTATAGAAGCTAAAATAGCTAGATGGGTGTGGACTTACTTGATTAATGGAGATTAATGCGACTCATCTTATCAGAATAAAACACTGCTTCTTTTCCAGAGCGATTTTCTTTTCTACGTTTCAAATTCTCTGTAATATTGTGCAGGGAAGCAGCAACATTGAACTCAGACATGCCCCATGCCACTGCATTGTCGCCAGCACAACTCAGCCAGTTTGTCCCAACGTGGCATCTATCAAAGCATTCACATGAATGGCTGTCTAGAAGAGAAAAAAGGAAGGATGCAAAGGAAGCTACTCTCAAACTCACTCAAGCAAATCTGCATCAATAACAATTCATCCGAGGAAGAAATTCGAATCGCATGCAAACCTTCTGATTGTGCTGCCAAAACAAACTCTTGAATAAAATCATGTATTTATACCAGAACCCACAAAATAAACCAATTCAAAACCACCTTATGTCTCAAAAGGTGTTTATTTTACTTTTTATTTGATCTGTCAAGATAGTTAACCATCTCTTAAGCTTCTTCGAGGACAAGATTTGTAAGAGATAAATTGCAGTCTATATTTATTCCTTTCATACAAGTCTGTTGTAAACAGCAGCCTCCCTCAGTGAACAGACATTATCCACAGAGCAGCAGCCGGTGGAAATGCCGAAGAAAGCCAAAGAAATTGTCCTATTTGTGACAATTAGATCATCCAGAAGGCAGTGTGGTAAAGTCCTGTGAATCTGACACATAGGAGAAACTGACATAGATGAGTTCTGACAGCCAGGAAGCTTCTGAGAGACATCCAGGGAGTTCCTGTTCTTCAGAGTTCATTTCATCCACTGGTTTGTGCTATGATTGATGTATGATGTTGGTAGTGTGTCTTAAAGTGACAGAGACTTTTGAGAAGCGGAATCAAGATAAAATGCTCATTTCTACTCTCTGGGCCTCAGCATTTTTACACCAAGTCTTGAAATTGCAAAGAAATGTATGTGTGCTTATCTCAGTCGTGCTAGAACATGACCAGGTTAGGCTTTCGAATATGAGTTATTATGTTCTTTGGAACAATTATATCATCTAGAAGGAAGTGTGGTAAAGTCTTGTGAATCTGAAACATGGGAAAAACTGACATAGATGAGCTGTGAGAGTCGGGACGCTCCTTTTAATGACTGTAAATTATTCTTTTACATCAGTAAACCAAAGTTTATCAGACCTCTTTTTTAAATCCATTTATCTATCTTACACACACTTTACGAACACAAATAATGTTGAAAGTCCCAACTGACCTAAAAGTGGAAAAGCTTGGTCTATTTAAACGTGAGTCAGGCTGAGTCTATTTATAGTGTATGTAAATATCTGATTTGAACTCGGTATTTATTTGCATGCAGACTATGAAAGCATCCAACTTACTGTGCAAAATATGACATCAAAGCATTGGTTGAATATGCGATTGTGTACACATTAGTGTATATTGCATTTCAATATACTGTGCAGTTCTACTGAAAACACTGGGTAACCAAGAGTAATTATTTTTTACTGCAAAGAGAGTTGCAGATTACAAATCTCTCTAAAATAATGACAAAACACAAGGAAATGGTGTGCCATCGAAATACTTTTCATTCATATTGATAATATTTTCATCCTGTAAAGAAAGAATAGTACAAATGGTGCCGCTACAAGCTCCTCTTGAATCAAATAAGCTGTCTTTAAAAAAAAAAGAAAATGAACAAACAACAAAACTCCAAACCTCTCATCTCACTAGATACACTGGCTTCTTGTCTTAACCCTAAAGGTACAATTAGTTACATTTCCTTGACCGCAACACTTAGATGCAAAATCTGGGACAGATGGTCGGGCAGAAAGAGGATGTCATGCCAGAGGGAGCTCTTAACGGGAATCATTCACATCTCCAAGTGGATACATCCTGAGAGTCCAAAGGACATGACAGCACGATCATACATCCACAATTATTTTTCCTTTTACTCCCAAGATAGAAGGTAGAAATAACAGTCTGTGAAAACATTCTTCAGACTGAACTGTTATCAAAAACACTCTGGAAATGTAGGTATGTTTATGAGCTATATATAATTAACAGTACATAATAATAGGTGACTAAAGAGACAGTAAATTATAAGCTTTACTTCTCACCCCATTCTCATTGTGCTTCTCTCCAACGTTGCCACTTCTGCGACCAGTTTGATCCTGAGACTGCTGACTCCCTGCAAAACAAACGGGAAATAGCAATCGTCACTAACCAAGAAAAGAAACGTACAAAAACACAAACAAGTGTGCAGATAGGTGCAGACAAAACAGCAGCTTTGAAAGATAATTAACAATGAGTGGAACAGACTGACTAACTGAGAAAAGTTCAATGGAAAAAATGGATATGGGTAAACTTTTGCATGAGAGAAAAAAAGGTTTTAAAAAAAGTAAGATTCAAACTAAGGTGGAAAAAAAATTCCTGTACTCTTTAAAAACTTCTTCATTTTCTGTTTTTTTCCTGTCAACGCCATGTTTTTGCGAACTGTTCATTGTATTTTTTTACGATGCACAATATATCTGCATCACTTTACATCTAGCAACCTACAAAATTATAATTTATACACAGAATTTATGACAGGCTTGTTTACTTAATGTGTCAACTTATTAAATACACAATTACATTTTTAAAACTGACTATCAAAAATTAAAGAAAATCACAAATGAATTATACTTTTGCAATAGTAGCTCCACCCACTCACTGATGGGTAAGGCTAGTTGACAACACAGGACGAAATACTAAGACAAAATACAATTAAATACTTTTAAACACGTCATGAACAATATATATTTTGCATGCATCATTTAATTATGTATTTAATTAAATTAAACTAAATAAAAACAATTATTGCAATTGCATTAATTTTATGTTCGCACAAACAAAAATTCAATAATGACAAGCTTTTGGCTTAATGTGTGTACCTAATGAGCTTTTAAAACTAAAATATTTTGTGGTGATCTTGGACAGATGGGATTTAAATATAGGATTATTTCTGGTTTATTTGGCAATCCTTAAAACACGTGCAGCTGAAAAACATATGTGAAAACTGGTCCAATCTACCCCAAGTAAACTCTCATCGTTTAAATGATTGGAGACTGGCTTGAAGGAAAACACACCCAAGGACATTTTGGTTGTCAAACATTTTCTAACAAAAGTGAAAGAAAACAAAACTGTCCCTGTCGGGGCTATTTTGAGTTTTATCAGCATTCAGGCTTTGACGTGCAACATCACAAAACGACAAAATCTGTAAAGCAGACCCAGAGTGTCAAACTTATAATGACAGCAGTGTCAGTCATAAAGAGCCAACTTGGAGTCGGGATTTTCCCTATACACACCTTGGTCACTGCTCTCAGTGGGTGAATCTTCATGGCGGAGAAAGAACTTGACTTCTTGTTTTCGAGGCCCCCACTTCTGCAGATGTTCATACATCATGTGCTCAAATGGAATCGCTCTTTCTGCAGAAAAAAAAATTTATTGAAAGCAGGAAGATGTTAATTAGCTGGGCTTTAATCTGCCCGCAAATAACAAGGTTGTAGAAGGATATTTGTGGATATCTCCAAGAGTTTTAAGTATTTTGGATGTCAATGTGACAGCTCAGTGTTTGCAAAAACAAAAGAGTGGAATGAAACATGCAAAAAAAAAAGAAAACCCAAAAAACAAAAAAACACCAGAAAGACTTTAGAGGGGGGAGTGATGGATTATTAAATGTCAGCTGAATCTTATTGCATAACTTGGGTTTAATGCCACCCTTTGTTTGGATGTAGAAGAAAACAAGGGGCTCTGATCAAAAACTGCTGGCTCCAGTGTTTCAAGATAGTATGAAGGCTGTAGATTATCTGAATGGAGGGAAGTTGTGACAATCCTACGAATTGTAACCTGAACTTGAAGCCCATTATCTTATGCTGTAATAATATCTTCCTCCATGTTGCGTCTTTTTTGCTCAAGTAACTCATGCATAACTCAGCTTAACACCTTCTTTAGATTGAGTATGCTTCTGGAATAAGACAACAAAAATGAAATTCCTGTGCATAAAAGAAAAGTCTCAAACTCAGCAGGAATGGACTTCATTACATTATTTTTATGCACTATTTGAAGACGGTTTAGATTAAGGCAGATCTATGTACTCCCATTCTTCCACGCGGATCTCACCGTTGCCTCTCCAGACCTCAGCCAGGTGGCAGCCGCTCTCGCCAGGCTCTTTGCAGAACTCGACGACATCGCGGCATGTCGTCTCGGGTGTGATGGGGACCTCGGCCGCAGTCTGCTCCCCATCGCTGAGGTACACCGTCAATATCATCTGAAAGACACACGGAAGGGATAAATGACCCGGAGAACAAAATTTAGAAAACATAAATAGATAACGAAGGAAATAAACAAAGAGTCCATTGCTGTCTAAAGGTGTGGTTGAAGGTTGGGGCTTTAAACACTCAGTGATGTACAAAGCCCTCTGTGCTGATGCTGCGTTATGTTGCAGACCATCCGTGACTGATAGGTTGAGCTGCTGATATGCACGTGACTGTGCCTGCCACTTTTCCGTTTACATAGATTAAGGCTCAATACTGTGGTGAACATGCAGTTTAGGCTGGAAGGGAATGCAGAATAATGTCTCTATTTGCATTTGTGAATATAATTTACAACAAAGTTCTTAAAAAAAGGGGTTTGGGGGTCTTTTAGAAGATAGTGACGCAATGTTTATTTATCTTTGCAACCTCAATGTTACAAGTATATAATCGAAAACAGGACAAAAAACAAGCATATAAACTGGTCGTCCTACCTTGGTAGGTGAGATGACAATGTATCTATATAGCAAATGATACTTAAAAATTAAATATGTAGAAAAACAAAACAACAAAAACAACAGACTAATACTGTATAATAGGCTTAAGAGTTCAAATAAAAACTGCTAAAATGTGCCACAAAAATCTGACTGGTTTAAATATAACATCTCAATAAATTAATAAAGCCAATAAATCTGAAGAATATGATGAATCCCAGGCTCCACATTACCTGCAAAATTCACTATTGCTTATTTATTGCCTGTGTGCTTCTGTCAGTCTTGACCAGGGTCTTAATCTCAATGGGGAATTCCTGGTAAAATAAAGGTTACATACGTCCATGACGCCAGACACTCAGGTCACTGACAGGCTATCTCAGACTTCCATAACAGCACCACAAACACTTCTCACTATGCCTTCATCACTGCAAGCCAAGCCGAAGGAGCCATCCTTGAGCTGAGCATTAAGAAATAGACTAAATCAAGTCCGCATCATTTTTCAAAACCATAACCAAAGGAGATATTTAAGTCTGCAAAAGACCAACAAGGCAGATTAAGGGTAGGAGTTGGCAATACATGATCAAGGTAACGACTGGAGACACAATTGGTCCTAACATGACAAATATAAACTTTCTCAATCTTTGGGCACATATACTTGTTTTTCTTGCTGTCGTAGTGAGAACACACCACAGGTTGGCTTCATGTTACTGGTAAGGTTTGAAGGATTGAAGATATACCTTTCTGTTAAATGTAACAAGTCTCACATAAAATACATCTAGAGCAATGCCTTGAACAAACTCAGTGTTTACATTAAAAATAAAGTAATTCACATTTATATTTGTAAAAAGGGTTCCAGTGTCCGGTTACAGCTCTGCAGCACCGTCATATATAATTTACAGTCCAGTCACCGAGCTACCTTTTAAACTGTAACTCCAGGAGATTTTCTGAGACAAATGACTCAGAATTTCAATGATGCAGACATCTGATTCATTGACATTTTCAGAAGCAGGCTAAATTAACCAGCATGATCACTTGTTCTTTGAAGCCTGACTAATGCGACCAAAAGCCCAAAGGTTCTACTGCACGTGCAAATATTTTAGTTCGGCTTTCCTTTACAAGTATGACAAAAAATAAATGCAAAAAAAAAAAAAAAAAAAAAACATCTATTTTGATGCTGCTTCCAACTGTGCCGACATAACCTATTACTGATAAGTTAAGGGTGATGACACCCTCCTGGCAAAACCATTTTCAGGTGACACCAATATTGGGAAAAAGAATGAACCTATGCATCTACTAGTGAAAAATTCATCCTCATTTTCAGGGAGAATTGAGCACATTCCTCCTTGTTTACATGTTTTAAAATATGTGGCTTTGATGCAATTTTTTTAGGGTAATAAGCCAACAATTAATAATGCAATTCTGATTGTCTACCTCCAAACCAATCTACAATTATTCAGGCTTATCAGAAAAACAAGTTGCAATTTTAAACTTAAATCATCCACGAATAAGAATAAAAAGCATGACAGAAAAAAAAAAAATCTGCATAGGGATAACAGCAGCTCAGAAAACAGGAACTCCAGTGATCCTGGTGAAGGACCACTGGAGAAATACCAACCGCCCTCACTAAGTTGCGTCTGCCCATACTCTTGTTTCTCTTCACTGCCCTCCGTTTCCTCTTGATCTTCTTTTTTGGCAGCGGCTGGTGTTCCTTTGCCCAAATAGGGCTCTCCTTGGAGAGGCTAACAAGGCCACGCAGCATTATATTCACAAACCTCTTCATCATGGCACTGCTGCTGCTTTTGCAGTCGTGGGACTTAATCGTTATGCCATCGCGAGCAGACCTCTAAAGCCGACAGCGGTGCGTGCATCGGAAAAATGCTGCAGAGGAGACTTGGGAGGGAAAAAAAAAACACGAGCTGGATGTACAGTTCAGGGAGGGAGGGATAGATGGACAGACGGGGGGGAGAGTGAGCAAGAGTATAACTAACAGTAAGAGAAAGAGAATGAAAAAGAGGGAGAGAGGGCAGAGGAGGATAACGAAAAGACTTTCTGACAGAAGATTGTGGCTGGGATGTGGTGCTGGCTACTGTGGCGTCATGGGGAAAAAACAAAAAAAGGACGGGATCGGTCTTTTCATGGCCATATACGTAAAGCAGAATTTTATAATAAGAATGTAAGCAAGAAACATTCTGAAACCTGGTCATTAATCAAAGACCTCAACAGAATTGTAAATTAAAACCATTTTCCACAGCCTCAAGTGAAAGAATGACATAGAATCTTACTGAAAAGCTATACCTTTAGTTGATCTAATCATGATTCAGAATGATGTTCACTGGGTTCAAAGATAAAAAAAAAAAAACACGTATCAACATGAACAGTATAATCCAGCAAATGATAAAGGCCAAGTCAACCAATTCTCACTACCATATTCACCTAATGAACATAGTTTCTCTCTGTAACCTTTATGAATCTGTTTACTCACGCTGTAGTTGTGGATTTTGATAACTTATGGAAATAAACATTCACAAAATACTTAAATTTATGGCATAAAACTGAGGGTTTTTTATGCTGAACTCTTTTTTTCCCTGATTGCAATTCTAAACCCCTTTTGGGGCTATTAAATGATCAAATATGACAAATAATAACCTTCAGTCAAACAAAAATAAGTCTTAGTGAAACTCATAACCACAGTTGCTTACAGAAGCCTTTCTTAAAATAAAAAAAATAAAAAATACTTTCAGTAAATATTAATATGTTCTGCCCAGAATAGACGGGGAGGCAATAACCTTTATGAACCCAACAACAGAGCCTCTGTCACAACTCTCATTGTTTCATCAATTGGTAGTCAGGGCGGGTACAAACTGATGCATGGTCAGTACGAAATGTCCCATGGCAGACAGCTCCCTTGGTTTGTTTGGTACAATATGATCAAGATTGCAAAAACTCAAGAAAAATGGTGTAAGGACAAAACAACCAATCACTGTTTGAAAGAAAAAAAAAAAAGAAAAAAACATAACAAATGTCTTAGACATAATTCCTGGTTTGATGAGTCAAAAACTCATTTTCTCGCTCAAATCTTATCCTGCACTTACTCACAGTAAAGTTAAGGGTGACAGTAAATAACTGCTTCATAAAAACCAGTTTCAAAATAAAACTTTCCTAAAGCAAGATAAAACAGTGACAAACAGTCAATACCATCTGAGCTTTATCACAATTATTCACTAAGTATATTTGCCAACTGCTTCAATGTTTTTCCCCTCTACCTCAAATAAAAGTGAAAAAAAACCCCATAAAATATTATTTTAGAACTTGAATGATGCCAAAGAAAAGGTCCTGCTTTGAATGAAAGGCATGTACTGCAATGTAGCCAAATAATGAGGCAGAGGAATGAGGTTCTATTGTGTCAACATTGGTTATTATGACTCCATTGAGAATAAGAAACTTGTGGGAAAGAGAAATATTCAGGGCTCAGTCAGTGGAGCATGAGGCAATAGTAAACAGCAGGAGTGTCTACATGGCTGCATGCTGACCAAGCTTCATAGCTGTGGTTGTTTGCAAAGAATTAAATGCACACACATTTAAACTGAAAAGATTCGACTTCCTTCTTTGGATGACTTGTGACCATTTCTTTGTGACTTGTTGCTACATATCATTGAATCAAAAGGTCTTAACAAGCTCATGAGTAAACATCAATAAACCGCTGTGCTTTGATGCAAGGGCTTTTTGAATCTGGATGTCATAATTCTCTGTATTTAAACACAGACATTACTGAGAAAGAGCCTCAGTATGAACGAAAAAAGAAACACATGCAACATAAACCTGAATAAACATTTTCTTTTTTTATTTTGCTTAGACGTAAACAACATGGCAAAATGATCTTTCCACATTGTATAAGCAGAATTAAGGCTTGCTTTAGCTGATTAGGAAATTGTTCCTGAGCATTTATGCAGGTTTGTTTGTTAATATGCAGCTAGTCTTAATGTTTCACATTTAGAATATGAAGCAGATTGTCAAGGTCTTCAAAAAAAATAAAAGAAAAGCCTCAGCTTACAGACAAAAAGGTGTCAAAGTCCAACAACGTCTTATCCGCCCTTCATAAGGGACCGATTCAGAGTTCAGAGTGAAGGCTGACTAATGTCCATTAGGACAAAACTTTGAAAGCATAATACATAATAATGTATTTTATTCAAGCAGTAAAACAGAAACAGGCATCTGAAACAACTGAAAGTTGCTAAATAAATCAATAACTGACTATCAATCTACTTTACAGTTTGATAAAAAGAATTTATAATCACAACCCTCCATATTCGACTACGAATATTTTACTTTTTTATGACAAGCACTTTCAGCATGGTGGCTCGCCTGGTGCTGCTTTTAAAGCAACTAATCTACAAAAGTGAGAATGAAAAAAACAATGTTTACTTTTTTCTCTAAATCAAGCTTTGCTCAGTTTCACAGTGTGAGATTAATGCCTCTTGACCCCCCCCCCCCCCCCCCCCCCCCCCCCCCCCCCCCGACATCAGAGTGTTAGTTGACGCAGTCGCACAGACCTAGATCTACTGAGGTCTCATTGGCTGGCCGAGTCACACGAGAGAACCGAGTCCCTTTCTGCTGGACTAACTCTTTGACTCCGTCGATATCTGGTTGGTGCCACAGGATGCAAATGTTAGCCGAGGCTGTGGCTGCATTTGGACCAGAGGTCACCACTGAAACAAATGTATTGTCAACTTTGTACAGTTGAAGCTTTAAAAGGCTCACTGTGTGTTTCCTGCAACTCTTAGATAACAAACCAAATACAAATCTATCGTGACATTATGGATTCTGCATTTGTTTGCAGAATCCATAAAGTTGTGACAGAAGGTCATTTGTATTTGATGAATTTTCCACAAAATTCGTCACTGCTTTCTCTGCACTGACAGACAACAACAAAGCCTTAGTACTAGAGTTGCAATTCAGATATTATATTCTACACCACACAGAACAATAAAACCAGGTCAACACAGGGCACAGAAAAATATAACAAGCATAAAATAAACACTCCTTATGCACAAGTGCCTTTTTTTGTTTAAATAAGTTTTTGTATAAAGTGGAAAGGAGCCAATAGTAATAGAGGTGATAAATGTTTCTTTATTAGGTAAAGAAACATTTATTAAAGAAACATTTTATATGACATTTCTCAAAATGTATGAAAAAGTGAATGCTGAGTTAAATAATATAAAACAGTAATAAAAAGTAATCAGATATTGCTAGTTTTACCTGAATAAGGTTCTATTAAACAATCAACATTACAATAAAAAACATTATAAGATGTCTTTAATGTATTTCATATTATAATTTGACAGAAAATTGTGCAAAACATACTGTATTTTCTCTATTAGATTTCAAAATGGCATTTATTAAATGTCAAATGGCAATACCTTTACACAAATACAAAATATGGCATAGTTTATAATCAAAACGCCGAAGCATTCTATTTTAATAAACCCACTTTTGGATTAGCCATTAAAATAGTTTTGGTTTTTATTCCACAGTTGTGTTTTAGGTTGATGTAAAGTGCAAAATGTCTTAATTTGAGAAATTAACAATAAATTGCATTTCATTGTAAATATTCTACAGTAACAAACTTGGCCTTTTGGCTGAACTCCAAGTCAATTAAAAATATTTTTTTCAGGTAAATAAAAGCATAACATATTAAACGGATTTTGTAGGACTCTAAATCGACTTTTTATTGGTGATATTTTAAGAAATTTGATAAAATAGTAATTTGAGTCAGAATACATTTTTATGCAAAATCAGACAGGAATGAACCCAAAATCTAAATCTTTTAAATGCCATCAATTTTGTCATTTAAATAAGCCTTTGGAAACATTTCACCTACCGAGTGAAAGCACATAGGATTTCTGTAAAATTAAGCACACAAATCAACATTAGTAAAAGGCGATCGTACTCACCGGCATCATACTGGCGGCTCTGGTAAAACCAAACCAGCGTCCACGGACGAGCGTGTCTTCAACAGCACCAATGCAGAGTCAACCGAGACCCACCTTGCGAGAAATGGGCTCGGATAACTCCTCAGTGACAACCAACAAGGCCTCAGAACTCTCTGTGAACCAAAAACAGTAGAAATGCCTTGAATATCCTGAACACAAACATTGTACAGTAGTAGGCGCGTTGAAGCCGAAATAAGTTCCCAGTGTCATGCGGCGCAGTGATTTAAATGGTCCAGGCGTGGCTCTGTAATGTGTGGCTACAAACAAGCCGATGGTTAGCGCGGTTGCATTAAAAACAACGTTAAAAAACATAAAACATATCAAACTACTGCGATGACTCACCAATGTCAGAGACGACTCATTGTTTTATCAAATAAATCCTTGCTACGTCGTCGTTAAAGGCACGCAGATAACCCAGGCAGCTGTCAGCGAGCCAGCTAGCGATAGCTGCTAATCTTGTTTCGGAGAAGGCTAAAGGACGGTACGCCAGCGAGTCTCTCTGCGGCCGCTGGTCCAGTAGCTTGCATAGACGACACGGGCCGTGAACGGAGCCCGTCTCAAATTAAAAGAAACAAACCCCAGTCAGTCGAGGTTACGTTACTTCTTTATGAACGCAACCATCGTTAGCTGGCTAGCGATGCTAGCTGTCGAAAATACAGATAGCTGGAATCCAGTTGTTGACGATGGGAGGGGCGGGACTTCACCACAGCAGCGACGCTTTCACGTTAACGTAGAATGTTAAGAATGCAACGTCAGCACCAGCCATGACAGGCAGAAGGAATTATTGATATAAATCCTAATCTCATAATGATAAAGTATCTAAAAACCCCCCAGGTGTACTTAAATCAAAGAAAGCACCAACTTTTTTCATCTAAATGATGGCATTTCGCCTTTATGTCACATTTGTTTTTGTAACATAACTCTTACTAAGTCCACTGGGCTACCCACACACATGAATATGCTGTGATTAAAGTCATCTTGTCCTAGCTCTGCCTAAGGACCTATTGTCCTGCTGGAAGGTCAACATGATTTTTTTTTGCCGATTTGCTGCGTTGTTTTTGTCCCAAGATGTTCAAGTTGCCCTATCTGACAACAACGCATTCTTCCGCATTGTTTTGGAAGATATGAAAGAAAATGATTGTCTTTCAACCCTACTTCATATAGAAGTTCTTGCAATATCTCTCTTCCCTTTTTATCTTCTCATCAATGAACATCCTATTTTTGCAGTCTTCTTCCTCATTTTCCACATTTATAAATGGTCCTGACACACTTACAGTACACAATCAGGTTATTGCAGCATTTGCATATGTATTCATTTGTTTTGCTCTAACATGTTGGCTTATATTTAGTTTGTTTGTAGGATGTATGTCACAATAAATGTGGAAAAAAGTGTTAAAATGTTTTGTCTCAATCATCATGAGGTACGTAAACTTCATTATGTCCATTACAAATTGTCATAAAGCAAGAAGTCAAAAGCACACTGACAAAGTAAAAAAAAATACATCAAGCGGATGAGTTTGATTTCAGCACTTAAATTGGAACATAAGTTGGCTCATATGCTATACATCTTTAAAGAAACACAACAGACACAAAATTTCAACCCATGACTCCAAATGATGTGAACAAAAACTATTTTGAGGTCAAACAAATATTGAGAATTTCTATCCTATAAACAATTGTTTTATCGCTTTATAAACTTAAATGGACATTTATAACTTTAAAATAAATCCAAGAATAAATACAGGATTTTTTTTTTCAATCACAATCTTTTTAATTTCACTGATAAAAATCACATTTTAAAAGATGCATGCATCTTTTTTAAATATCAAGACCATTTTTCAAACAAGTGAAAAATCACCTTTTAATGATTATATTAGTCATCTAACAGTTCATTTGGTATTAATTATAAATAACTATAAAATAACAAATCACTTTACATAGATTTCAGTAAACAATACAATCTAAAATTGATCATTAAAGGCCACAGTTTGGCTTATCGTCTCCTTAACATGTAAACGTGACTAAAAATAAAGATAAAATGATTAAAAATAATAAATAAATAAATGTGTTGGTTGTACACTGGTGCAGTTGGTAGAATAGTTTGCATGTTCTCTCTGTAAATGCGTGGGTTCTCCCCGGGGCACTTTGGATTCTCCTTAAGTGTGAGCGTCCGCGTGCACGGTTGTTTGTCCTGTTTGTCTCTGTGTTGCCCTGTGATAGACCGACAATTTGTCCGGAGTGTATCCCACTGGAGAGAGACACCAGCCCCCCTTGCAACATCTGTGCTACATAATGGATGGATGAACAATAAATGTTCAAAACAGCACACTGTAATTGAGCTTTTCTGTCTTAACAGCCAGTGCTTGTTAAAAGTCTCTTTCCAGGCTGAGTTTTTTCTTTTTTTTTTTTTTAAACACAGCTGCACGATCATTAGAGGTTCCTTAAGCTACGGCATTTTGCCTTTTGGGTAAATGTTGGATTCAAAACCTAAAATCCAAAATATTGTCTAAAACGTGCAAAGGCAAGTGGAGACACTGTCTTTAAACGCTCCCTTAGAGACTTTTCCTGGAGAAAGAGTAGAGAAAGGACACGCCGTTATATCTGATTCATGTTACAGCTGATTCGTGTAGTGTTTTTTTTTTCTTTAAGTGAAGAAAACATTACAAAAGTGTAAAAAAAAAAAAAAAAAATTAGGAAGAAAATTGGTTAGCCAATCTCACATCAATAAAACGGTCAGTTCCTGGGGTGAACTTGTACTTCATTAAAGTTGAGATCTGGCTGGCTGGGGCGAGCACATGGAGGTGAAGGTGTTCCACTGAGATGAAGGGAGGCTGATGGAACCCCAACCTGAAGAACAAACACACATCCATGTCAAGCTCAGTACTTTCTTGACGTTTCCAAAGTTTTTAGGCTGTTTAAAGTGATGTCATGGTTAAATGAATTGCCTCGCTATGGCCATTTTGTCCTTAGAATGACCAACTGTAGATCATTTTTGGCTGTCTGTCAGTTTATTTTCTCCTTAATTCCATAAATTGCTCTACTGTCACAAACTGTGCAACCATTTCCACCTCTCTCCTTGTCTACATTTTCTGGTCACCCTACATGTTGTCTTTAACATGTTTTTTTTTATTTATTTATATTGTTTTGTTTTATAAGCTTGACCCATTTTACATTGCAAACATCTTATATTTATATTTTAATACCCTCATGTAAAACTTTAGAAAAAAAACCCCAAAAAACAGAAGAAAGGCCAGAGGAAGTTTCCTGGCCGCAAATGAGAAATAAACACACTTTTTAGATTTCTCACCCACCTTACATTCTCCATATCAGTGGTCCCCTGGTCCAGGAGCACTTCTTTCCCAAATTTGGCCATCCTTTCAACTGTTGAACACATGGTTTGTTATTGCTGGCCACTATGAGAAGCAGATATAAAAATACAATAGAACTAGTGTAAGGAGAGCATGTCACTGACCAAGGTCAATGTGGCTTCTGTTCAGTGATTTGCAGCTGACAATGTGGTTTCTAGGAATAACCAGGTAGTGCTGAGGAGCAGCAGGATCAATGTCTCTGAAGCAAACAAACTCTTCATCCTGCAGAAGAGACAAATTATTTCCTGATGCCTTGAATAAGATGTTGATCTGGGTTCTTTTAACTTCCTGGATGATTCAGAGCCGTGTAGTTGAGTTTTTTAAAAAAAATGGATTTAGAGAGTGTCACTTCTGAAATAGTTCACCATTCCTTCCTGCTTTCTCCATTTGAGGGTAATGAAACGTATGGAAGCATTTAACTGCCAAAAACTTGGAAATAAATTCTGGAATTATATTTTCTTCAAGCGACAAAAACCTTTGCTCTTTGAGATCTGTCAATACATCGGAGAAGTTCGATTAACTTTTTAAATTTTTTTTTACTTTGAAATATTCCAAACACATAAATAATACCCACTTACTCACCCAAAAGATAACTCGCATTCAGACGTAATATCCATTTAAAAATTCTGAAATTTATAAATCAATTCAAATTCAAAAATACTTTATTGATTCCAAAGGGAAGTTAAATATTGTTGTAACTCATATTAATTCAAATTCTTCAAAGATTTATTGTAGATAGAACAATAACAATCCTGGACGGGATTATATTTATTATTACTTGTCACGTTCTGTGACAACGGAGTTTCAAATCATAAATCTGACCCTCTGACCTAAAAGTTTCAGATTTATGACCTGTCCTCTTTAAACACAACAAAAACTCCTTACCTGCTTAAGAATAGTGGTTTCTTCGTCTTTATTTTGCGCAAAATTGCAGAAAATACACGATTCATTAGAAGTCTTTCTTTCCATCTTCCTTCCCGGTGTTCGAGTTACCTTTCAACATACAGTATTTGTTTTTGTTCCGCATTACATATCTACCAAAGATCGTCAATTTTTGCGAGGGGACATCACTAGACAGTTTTCCTAAAAGGTAAATGGCGATGAAATTAGTTTAAAATAATTTAGAAAGACCTTAAGAGTAAAACAAAAGTACAATTTACTTAACACATTCAATCTGTCAATCTCTTTAATCCCCCGAAAACCTTCGAACATTCTTTTAAAGCTAAACGGAGATGAAAACTGTTTGTAATCTACAGAGCGATGCATCTTTTCTGAAAACGATCTTTGTTGAGATTACGTTCTACAGCACGTGTCAAACTAAAATCCAGGGGTCAAATTGGCCCACTACTATTGATGGAAATAAGACTTTCAAGAGAACAGTTATATATTTAAATTTTATCAATTAAATCAAAACAGTTTTTATCTGTGAAGCTGAGTGGAAGAGCATGGCTTCATGATGACCACCAGAGGGAGATGTGTGTAGATGAGCCCTTAGCTTTGCCGGTTAGAGAAAGGGATGAAAAAAGTTAGACCGGAAGTAGCTTTGTGCTGTTTGCTATGGTAGGCTAACGTGCCTAACGATTTTCTACTGTCCTAAAAAAGGCGATTTTCATGAAAAACTGTGGACCTCGTTCAGATTCCACGAGGAACTGGGGGGCTTGTTCTGTCTTGACATATTGTGAGTTTCTGTTAAATGTTATCTGGTTATAGTTAAATAATAACCTGTTGTTATTTTATTTAATGTACGTTTATTTACCTCACCATACTGCCGGTTAGAGTGAATGTCCAGTTGCCACTAGCAATTCTGAGTTGTAAGCAGAGTTTACTGAGTATTTTAAGATGTTGTATGACACTGAGTTGACCATATTGTAAGAAGTCTGTGTGATTTTATTTATTTTCCTTTTATATAGAAGCGTGCCTGCTTCAGTTGTTTATGCACTCAATTTTAAACTTGTACAGTATTTTAAGCATAACTTTGCTTAAAAAGAGGGATTTATTTGATTTTGCTATCCAAGTAGTTGTCACTTTAAAATTAACAAAAATTCACCATTGTAAAATTCCAAATTCCTTTAACACTACTCTAACTTTATTGGAGTATTTGAGAAATAAAACCCCATTTAGAACTTTGTGTCTGGTTCCCTCATTCTACCAGGCTACATCTGGATGCTGCCAAATTACATCTATGTGAAAAGATGTTCCATATTATTTAATTTGAAGTACTCACTGAATGGAGAGACAACTATTTATCAATGTTTTAACAGTTTGTTATTGGGTTTCATACATAAATTCTGGCACAACTGACCCTTTGAGGACAGTTGTGATCTGCATAAGGCTCAAAATAAAAATTAGTTTGACCCTCCATATCTACAGGCTATAACATCAGGAAATTATGTTCTAGTACACATGTTACGTTTTAAGCAATGAAAAAAGAAAAAAAAAGATGTCAACTCTAATAAACTGAAATCATGAGCAGCTCATTGTTATTTTTATGTTATATGTTTAACATTTATTTTAATGTGCTGGCAATAACAACAATAAATAGCTTATAGACATCACAGAGCGCAGCAGTTTTGGATTCACAAGAAATAATACTTGGAGAGCATTCACAGTTACAACACCAACCAGATTAAAGTAATATTGCTCAAGTTTAACATGAAGCATTTTTATGGCATTAGTGAACAATATGGCAGGTAGTGGTGTTATATTCATGCACGACAAGCCTGAATCAGATACAAAAAGGCTTAATTTCTGTGTTAGCAGATTTGATTGTGTAGTTGGTGCCACATCAAGGGGTGAGTTGAAAAAGCTCCATCAATGCTTAGTTAACAGAGAGTGAGGCGTGGTTGGACTTCCCTTCTCTGGTTAAAGATTCAACTAGATTTTGTAACAATTTAACAGTAATATTAAAGTAATGCTCATTACCAGGGGCCACAAGGGCAGCATTGCCTGCATCCTGTAGTGCAAAGTGGCATCATGTTAAACTGGCTCAACAACAATGACCAAGTAAAAAAAACAAGACATACCAACAAAAATTCTAATGTGAAATTACTCAAGAACAGAAATTAACTATTGTAAAAAATAATACTAAAAAAGGAGCAGTTTTCTTGTAAAAAAAAAAATAATAAAAATTTCAAAAAATAAAATGCAAAAATATTCTTATAAAATACAAGGTCAGGAACAAAACATTAAATTTGGTCATTGCAAACTTGGTTCTGGCTGTAAGAGATTGTTTTGGATCATATTTCTTCATCTGGGACGTCAAATGTATCTCACTCTTGCCATTTCAGATTCACAAGAGAAAAAAAGTCATCACCAAAGGAGAAGCGAATGCTTCAGATGGAGACAGTTTAGCTATTTGATGTTCAATGGGTTAAAATTAACCCTGGAAATTGTCACTTTCCTTCAAGTTTGGAGTAAACTGCAGCAATAACAAAAAAAAAGATGATCATTCCAAATGTTTTCAGTACATAAATATGTACATTGTCAAACATACAAATATTGTCAACACTTACAATTTCTGTAAGGAGAACCCCAGAGCATTCTGAGGCTTCCTATTCTTTTACATGGACCTTCATCTGGTGTTAGGAATAATGTGAACATTAGTGTGAGCACTTTGGCCTCTTTAGGTCTAATCCACACAGTCAAAGAGCAGCTTTGACTGCAAGGCAGCCTTCACATCCAGGAAGCTGGAGCCTCTATTCTATTTGTAAGGCAGCAAATGAGCTCAGGGTATTTTGTCGCACTTCCACTTGTAAAAGCAACTGGACGTAAACTCGTGATAAGGTTCCCTGCAGAACACAGACACCTTTGCCGCTTGTGTCTGTCTCACATGACACGCAGTCTCATTCATGAGTGGCTCCAAGTGACGCATAACAGACTTGAGGGTGTTTTTCTAATGGCTCAAGATGTGTAGATTTGTCAGGATCTTGAGCAGATGAAGCTACTCAAAGGTCCACACCTCTAGACTGTGGATGTTGAAATCCTGCTGGGAGGAAAGTGGGTGATTGTTGAAGGTGGCACATTTGGTGGTGGTGCCTCGGTACAACTCCCCGTCTAGCCAGAGACCCAGATGGCCGCTACAGTAGAGAGGACAAAAAAAAAAAAAAAGTCAGGGAGCAGCAAAAATGCACTTTTCTGTTCAACAGCCAAATGTCAGCAAAGGGAAAAATGTGATTGCTGTACACACCCTCCTCCTCCCATCTGTAGAGAGTCAGTGTTGCCTTTCACAAAGTAAGAATTCTCCCCCGTCCAGCGGTACACCTGAAATTATGTAAAAATGAAAATACTCTAAAGTTAGTGCAGATTTTTGGGATGTGTTTATGAAGCTAGTTAAGCACAAACCTTAATTTCAGGACAGAAGCTATAAAGGAATGTCTCTCCAGTGCCATAGAAATGTTCACTGACTCTGAAGGGGTGAGTTGAAAAAGCTCCAAATATCTGTAACAAGACAAAAAATATATATATATATATATCTTTCTGACAGAAATATCCACAAATGACATGATTTGTGGTTTATGAAGTCTATATATATCTTTCACCATTATGAGGCGCCAAAGCTAAACAGTTTTATCTTGTGCAATAGGCCTGTTATTTACTTGCTCATCCATATCTTTAACAACCAGCAGCACAGGACTGTCCACATCTAACAAGTTCCTGTACAGAGTCTTCAGACTGGTGCCATGTTTCTCAGTGCTGTAAACCAGCCTCCATAGATAACCCTGCACACGGGCTGGCAGGCGACAGGCAAGCTGAAAGAAACAAAATAATCAACTACTAGACTGTGAAGTAAGGGATTAATACTTGCATAAGTATACAGGGTACTTATTCAAGTACTTGGTTTTATGTTTATTTTAAACTTAAACTGTTTTATGTTTACTTTAAACATAAAACCAAGCTTTTATTCTGTGACCATAGTGAAATCTATTTGAACATAAATTTTTTTTGTCATGTTTGACAAACTAAAATTAAATCTCAATTAAAAAAAAAAAAAAAAAAAGACTGAAAGGATTCGGGTGGTAGGAAACCTGCTGCGTGTCCTACACAACTTACCTTCTCAATGTGTGTATCTTGCAGCAGATCACTGTTGTCAATAAGCATGGGCAAAGTGTCAACTGTAGAGTCTCTGTCACAGCTGCTAAAGCTCTGCCTGCGTTTGGCTTCGTCAATGGTGATGATCTAGAATATGCAGCAGTAAAAAGGACAAAAGTAAAGAGATTAAAGTGGGGAAAAACACACACACACAAACTGGGGTGAAGGTAGCACAAAATCCTCACCTCCCAGCTGCAAGACGCAGGGTCACTGAAGAAGTTGTCGATCATGTCCAGCTCGTCTTTCTCCACCACAACAAAGCCCTGCTCACGGGCTTCCTTCCCGTACACATCAGGAGACCACTGGACGAAAAAGGAGTAGAGACTGTCCACCCTGAAACACACACACAAGACACAGCTTTCAACAAATTATCCTCAAGAAAAAAAACAAAAAGTGACTATTTCTTTATTTTGACGTCATTTCTGATGATGTTTTGTGGGGGTTAACATCACCTCTCCTGAGGAACAGCAAACCAGTATTCTGGCTGCCTCTCCCGGACCCTGACTGAGGGGGCGGGACTGGAGGTCATACTGGTGGCGAAGGACTTCCTCATTGGCTTCCCAACTTTGAAGCACAGGAACATGGGTGGATTTTTGCTCTTCTCCTCCGATGGTAAAAGCATGTCTGCCAAGCAAGACAAAAAAAAAACAAAAAAAAGAAAACTTCTTAATGACAGTTTTATTCTAACTTTTCTCAGTTCATTGACACTGAATGTTTGAAGTGTAACGTATTACATATAAATGGCATATAAATCCCATTAATAACCAACACTGATGTACCTTCTATTGGAACCTGCATCCTCTTCAGCAGCCATGACCTCATCTCAGATTCCTGGTTCTTCTTTTGTCTCACCTCCTCACTGACTCTGTCGCCCTCTGCTAGTCTGTCTGGGCTTCTCCTCTCTACC